GTGTCGTGTTGTGTTGTGTTGTGTTGTGCTGTGTTGTTCATTTGTCTTACTATCTTGTTTGTTCTTAAATATATCTGCATCTTACCTTGCTCGTTTTTTAAAGTTGATTACTTTAGTACTTTAATAACGTTTTTTWTTTKTTTGTTTGTTTTCATAATTTCTTGTAGTACATCATTATCCCTATTCGAATACAGTTTTTGAATTTTTTRGTTTCTTTGCTAAATCGGTGTCGTTTTCTAGTTCGTTAACTATAAATATTTACTATAAATATTTCGCTTGCAATAAATATTATTGAGTTAGTTTATAAGAAAGTTGTCAAACACCATGGTCGTAAGGTACGACACTGATCATTGAAGTGTACCGGCGTCAGGATATGTATGATAGTGTATAATACAGTAAAGTATTCGACTGAGAAAAACTGCAGTGAGTAAACATGGTATGTTTACAGTGAAATGTTCAAAAGTGATGCAATATATTTTGGCAAACATAAGAACTAAGTCAGATATTTATGAGAGCAATACAAAAGATATTTCAACTGTAACTTGATTGTTTTGCATAATGATTAAATTRGAGACTGAAGGGCTAGCAATGAGAGAAGTAAAAGTTATAAAGAAGTGCCATCATTAAAAGGCATTTTGCCAAAGATATTAGTATATGAAAATTCTTCATGTTTCAAACAGCGAAAGCGAATAACAAAATGGAAATTAACCCACTGGAAATAATAATTGCTGCTAAACATGTTGACCCCAAAAATTCAACAATGAAAGATATTTTAGTTTTAATTGATAGGAGTACTAGTTGTAGTTGTTGATCAATATTAAATGAATATAAGTGCACCGGTTGAAAGTGATRATATGTAGATATATAGTTCCAATCTTCAGTAAAGAATTTAGTGGCATCCTTGATGCTGATATGGATTTGCACAATTATTACTTATTTTCATCAAGTTCAGCTCCATGTCTTGCATTTATTATTTTTATTTTTCATTACCTTCCTCAGTTGATTCAACACTAAAAAAATTCAATGAAAAATGGAGAGGCATTAAAATATATATATATATATATATATATATATATATATATATATATATATATAATTTCCAATTCATGGAATTGGATAGAATCCTCATAGAAATAAGTTTCCAACCTGTTTATGTTGAAATTTCCTTGCATTTCTACTTCCTAGAACTAGAATTCAAACAACTTTTTAATTATGTCTACATGATTTTCTCATAGCCATGCAACTCACATTGCAAAGAATTATAGWTGTTATATTCTCAATTTTATTTATGATTCGTATGAAATTCCCTTATACTCATGTGACATTAGCTTGGACATCATTATAGCATGAATTCCTAACTTCTATCTAAGAATCACGTCAATCCTTTGGTAAATATTTTGCCAACTTTTAATCGCATTACATGTGTAAAACTAGTAGRCAGTGTTGCTGTTAACAGGTATTGTTGTCTATTTTGAAACAGTATAAATTATACAGAAGAAGACTTTGAAGACTTGCAAGTGTACAGAATTATCGATAGGAATATTGGGGAATCCTACAATTATGTTTTGTCCTCGAGATAAAATGTGCCAGTTTGTAAATAGTAAATGTAGTTCAGTGAGATTGACAGCAAGTAGCAATGACTCTGTTCTGCAACCGTGTTTGGATTGAATTGAATTTAGAGTTGTACAATCCATGAAYGCAAAAATTTACTTGCAAATAACTGACAGTGATGTGAGAGTGTTTCACATAACTTCTTGGAATATTGTAATCAGTGCAGTTGTGACCACAACTTCGTTATATAAATAAAATCGAGCTGAAACTGACAGTCCAATGATAATAATACCTAACCTTGTGCTAGCTTTCGATTCCTAAACTATTGACAAAGAGCATTTAACATAGAACACTACAAAAACTTCTATTCCAGACTGAAAATCATGTTATGTGAGACAGCTTTTTCAGTGCGTTGAATATTGATACGGCGAGAAAGGAAAAACAGTCAGAAATCAAGGCAAAGGAAGAGCAAAACAAGATGTAATTAACGGACAAGGTGGCAAAGGCTTCATGATTATTAAGATTAAAATTATCAAGGGGAAATAAGCTATCTATTAGTCGTTTCTGAATACATATTATGAATAACATTACTGTTGTTGCAGTAATGAAGAAGTTTAATGATCGCAGTGATAATCCTTGGAAAAGTAAACAGTTTGCCCATAACAAATTGCTGATGAAACCACAACTTCGCCAATAAATAAATAAAATRAAATAAAATAAAAAAGAGACTAAAGAATTTTAAATACAACCAAACTTTTGMTACCTGATGCGAACAGATCGTTAAGTGTCCATTCTAGCTTTTCTGCGATTTTTATATATTTTAGACATATCATATCCATATACCAGGTGCTGTGGTAATGGCGCGTCTTATCGAAAATTAATGCAAACCATTTCATGTTGTGCATAGAATCTCTTTTACAATTGTCAAAATAAATTTAACTTTGGTTTGATGTTTCAGATCATATATTGATCCAATCAACCCCATCATTATCATCCTGCGTGATCGCCTTGTTAATAAGAAAATACAGAGTACATTTGCTAGATTCTACTCAGACTCATGCTTCAAGAAAACTAAAAGAAACTTGTCTTTGTTCCGGCTCTTTGCAACTCAGCCCGATTGATGCGCAAATATCGTAGATCACCAACTCATGAATCGATGGTTTTGTAAAGCGTTTTACTCAATGTTTACTTGTTGAGGTAAATTAGTAGATTACCCTTGATATAGCAGAGAAAGGAACTTCTAAAGTAGATATCTGGGAAGAAGCAAGTCCCTTTGTCTTGATAGGTAAATATATTTTTTCTTGAAGCTTTCCTCATCAGTGCTTGTGGCCAAACTCAATAGCCCTATCGCAATATYGTGGACAAATTACTGACCACACCAAACAACACTCTCACAATATTGAACTACTGTACCTTGGTTTTCCCCATACTTTTTCCTCRACTTTTCAAACTCAGCAATGATTTGTGTCTGATGGACGAATCTGTTTCGAGTCGATGCAGAAAATCACTTATGGCCGACATTTTTTTGTGTTGTTGGAACGGCCGAACGTTTTCGATACGATTTCCTATAATGTTACCGAAGCGTTCTTTTCAATGAATGATTGCAGAAGTGAAGTTACGGAGCTTTCGTATCGTAAGGAATTGTTTATCTTACAGAATATAAATAAACAGAGGTTTACCGAAAACATACRCTTGAGATGTTTTGAATTGGACAATTGATGTTTAGTCGAAGTGTTATTAGCGCAATCGAGATTTAATCAGAACATCTTCTTCTACGAAATGTCTTTATTGGGACTTGGGCTTATTTTCGGGTTTATTAATCAATCCTTGTTTAGCAGAAGATGAACTAAACGACAAAACAAAAGAACGTGCAAGTTTGTCACCTAAAAAAATGGACGAAAGCAGGACTGTTTGAAGGTGTGAAAAGCCCGGGATTTAACTTTAGGGTTAATTGTTTGGATTGAATGTTTTGGTTTTCGTGAATGTTTGGGTTTCTTGTTTAAAAGAGGTCTTAAGTTAAGACTTAAAGGTTTATTATTTCGACTGCAGTAAAGAGGGATCATTTGGTATTGGCATGTTATCAGTTATTGTCATCGTTTCTTGTTTATTTGCATAGCAGATCCACTCAGTGTCGGGAGCATCAGTTGAAAGTAATCCTKATAAATACATAACAGCATGAAGAAAACGTAGTATTAGAATACCTAAAAAWGCATTCTTTTTTGCCAATATTGTAGGTATAGGCCGAGGAACTCACATCTGCTGGTATTAGAATATTAATCATAAATGCTGAGCTCAAAAAAGCCGCTAGCGCGGAGGGTCGAATGGAGATAGTCGAAACAATGTTACCCAAACAAAGCATTAAAGACAATAAGAGCTTAGAAATTAGTTAAGATTCTTTGTTTTTGCTGAAAGGCGGAGGTGTTCGTAGTCGTGTATGGGCACTATTTATATACCTTAATAAGCAAAAACTGAAAAAACTTTAAAACCAAATGATGCTCTTGTGGCAAGTTAAACAATCGAAGAGGCACTTCTACGTTCAATATCAGCAAAACATGCGCTTACTCGTGATCAGAACCACCTTGCATAACGCACGGATAACGGAATCTGTGATGTTGTCGGGTTCATAGTTTCTGTTTTCTGTCCTCCTGCGGTGACCAACAAAACAATTAAACTTCGGTTTAAATTACTAGAGAGAAAGATTACCACGGAAACATGTGAGAACGGGGTTCAGGCAGAGAACCTTTTCAGCTCTTGTTAACTTCTATTCATGTACGCACCGCAGGCACTGAATGGATCAAAGCAATATTTGAAGCAAGAAAACCTACCGCATGAAACCCTTACCGCGATCAGTACTGAAGGACAAAATCTTTATATACGTACCGACACTCAAATGCCAAGAGGATTTGCTCACATGTGCTAAAGGGACTAGTGTATTTTGCCCTAAATCTGAAAAAGCTGGCATTTTCACAGAGCTGACTAATAATAAGTTAATTCAGACAATATGGATCATTCAGGAATACATAGCCTGCGGGCAAATTGTGCTAGAGGACGCTAGATCTGTTTTACCGTGGCTGTCGTGCTGAGAGAAATTTGCTTTGAGGTGCCGACCAAAAATTGATAAGATAAAACCGCTGCAGCCGGCGTTCAGTAAAGGCGAGGAAAACAAGTTTGAATCGATCCATTGCAAGGTATTTTAGGGATTTTCCTTCGCTTAGCAGAATGCTACTTGACTCGGTTAACTCAATAAGATATTATTTCTGTTTCGTCTATGATTTGCAAGTAACCACAATACTAGACGGCAATGTTTTGATCTGAGCCATTAAAACACTCGACGGTAATAAGTAAATAAACACGAAAGACGGACATTCGATGACCATTTAAACGAGATCGATGATCGCACGACAGTCGACTTGTCTAACGGAAATCGAGACGAATTACAGCCCGTTATACGAACGAATAAAAATACATGGGTTTCTAGAAAACAGATTTTCAGATATTCCATGGTGTCATGACTTCAACGGAAGGCACCTGGAAAACGGATGTATTGAGCTAGTCACAGCGGCCGACCCCGATTCTAGACGCAATATATATAGGTGTATTGTTCTTGTTGACTACGAACGCACTGAGCGGTTGAGAACATCTCTTAAGAAAAGGAGCCAATAACCGACACARTAATTACTCACAGTGGGTGGTTCAAGCGCTTCTGGAAAGAAATCAGAGGGGGGTGTCTTTATTTCAATAAATAAGATCCAACTCTTATAGCATCTCATCACCTTGTCTAAACTGTATTATCGACCCAATTCCAATTTTTCTCATTTTGGAAGAGGAAATTGCTTTTATAGATTTTTTATATTTAATTGGGTCGTCGTATATGGAACCCTAARAGACAATTTGTATTTTCAACTTCGTAATTAAAGCTATGAAGATTAGCTTTTTTGGGCCGTTCTCTAGGATTTGGAGAGTAATATATCTCAGTCATTGCCAGTCAATTTCAACAGGTATTTATCGGCTGAGATGGCATTATTATCGCCAACAGATTTTTCACTCGACTCTGAAATCCTTGACGCTTCGATAACAACGATAAGTGTCAGTGGTCTCTGTCGAGAATAAAACTCACCACGGTCCATCACTTTTGTTTTCAAATTAYGATAAATACTTCGTCAATCCCTCTTAGTAAACAAGAAACAAAGTARGTCCGCTAGAATACATGATAAATATCGCCTATTCATTAGAGGAATGATGAAATAAACCCGAGAGACAGACCGCTCGCTCGCTTGCAGTATACAATTCCGAAGTACCGGAAGCACATAAAATGTTCTAATATATTTATTCAGCAGAGAAAAGTTTACTGAAAGGGCCAAGGTCCCTAGAATGCGATCAGTTGACAGGTGTATTGGTAAGGGAATTTCACTAACAATTTCACCTCGTGCGACAATGCGACGTATCAAGATTTCATCGCTTTGAGCTTTGCCGATGTAATTTAGAATCTGTTATCTCAAACGCTATGCAAATAAAAAGAATTAAACTTGAAGTGTACATGAATTCATTAGCGATAACACATCCACCAAGAAACAAAAAAGCGAGAATGAAAGTGTTTCACCAAATTAGTACGTGTTTAATTTTCGCCGTGGATTTTTCYTAGCGCGAATATGAGTCCCATTTCCTTGCTATCTCCTCATGTTTATAATCAGTTGCTTTACATTCAAACAAATACCCACACACATTAGAAAAACTCTGCGCACATTCTTATGATTTATTCATTTTCGGCTCGAGATTTGTCGGCAGAGCCCATATCAAATAGATATCAATAATGCCGACTTGTTTCAAAATTAGAGCGTGAGGAAAGAAGAGCCCATTTATCTTTATCATCGGCACACGTATTTTTTAACTATTATCATCAGTTATTAGTTTTAAGAGCGCTTTTATGATTCCCACCGCCAAGACTGATATATCTATCTATRTATCTGTTGTTTATAACAAGATGTACAAATGTAACTATAAAACTCAGTCCAGGCACACTTAGAAATTAAAGCGCACTGCACCCACCACCGATCATTAAGCCTCTCTCGCGTTCCTGTAAGTAAACCGAGATTGAGATGGATTGCAGTGTAGTTCTGTCAAGACGGATCTTTTTCATTAATTTTCTGTTTCTAGATTAATAATATTAATAATTACTGTTTTTAACAAGCGGTCCACGATAGGTTCTTTCCAAAAAAAAGAAAAAAAAAAGCTTTCGTAACACTAACACTAACACATAGTCGTAAACACCTACACAGACACACAGACACACATACGCGCGCACACACACACACACACACACAAACTACTGTTACGTTGAATAATACGCTGAACTCAAAGCATATGCTGATTTTCACCGGCCGGGAGCGTTTCTGATCGCATCGTAGAAGGGAAACAAAGATGCAGGGCATCACATGATTCCCAAGTCGGACCGCGCCTATGYGCAATGTATTCCAATATCAAATCACTTGTCGTTCTCTCCACAATACGATTTTTGCTTGAAGCACACATGGTCTGYAATGGTAACGTATTTAGTACGCTCCTAATTTTGAACATTTCCCCCCCGAAGCTAGGGTCTCAGTGTCGTGCTAGCGTCTCTAAGATAAATTTGATTTATCCAATGCCAAACTTCTTGTTTTGTTGTGTTCTCTTAGAAACATACATTACAGCGCATTTTAACCGCCACTCGCCGGTTGGTTCAGTTGGTTGAGCATCAAACTTTTGTGCGGRAAGTTGTTGTTCGAGTTCCACTCGAACCAACACTCAGTGTCTTAAAATACCTGAGGAGAAGGTGTTGCCTTTGTTATAACAACTACAAAAAATAAAGTGGCGGTCCCGTATCTCCTTTCTATACCCTCCCCCTGCAACGGAGGGACGTAAATGAACCATGCACCGAAGACGTAAAGAAACCCTGTCAGTGACCACCCTGAGTCTCTGGAGTTTACTAACGATTTATTAACGGGTTGATTGGGGGATGGGTATGGGGATTTTACGGGTTTGGAAATTGGTGGTCCACATGGAGATGTCGAAGGGAAAGGTAATGGATGATGGAAGATGGTAGTCCACATGGAGAAGGAAAAGGTAATTGATGATGGGAGGTAGTGGTCCACATGGAATGGTAGTCCACATGGAAAAGGGAAAGGCCATTGATGATGGGAGGTAGTGGTCCACATGGAATGGTAGTCCACATGGAAAAGGGAAAGGCCATTGATGATGGGAGGTAGTGGTCCACATAGAGGAGGAAGAGGTCATTGATGCTTACACATGGTCCAGGACTCACCCCGAATCTCTAGTTGAAGGGTAACGAAACACGGACCCATGGTTTTAAATCACCTAGCAACCTACGCTGCTATAGATCAACTCCAAGCATACCTAATCCAATCCACCTTCGTATTCTTCATAGAACAACGGGAATTATTTTTTCAATGTGCGAGAGAAAGTTGGGGAGAGTAATATAACATATCTTTCTCGAATTATGGATTCATATTGGCAGGGTACATTTCCTGACAATTTTCGGCTTTCTCATATTGTGGACAAGCTCACCCATGGTTGTGCAAACARGGAGGAATGTAAACGTAAACTGATATCAAAATGCAAAGATTTAGCACTCAAAAACTGTTTGAAAATAACGAGACGATTTGAGGCTGCTGTTGACACCACTATTGGATGGCTCTGGTGATGCCCACATCAATGTATATATATTACACACTTGACGCAACCAGGAAATCACAAAGAAATGGATCGAAGAAAAGACATCAGTTCAGGCCCAAGGCACTGGCAAACATCAGCAACAAATCAGGCAAAAAAGCGCCAAGGGTGCCAAGGAGACTGCAATCATCGTCGCTATAGGTGTGCTAATAGACCTAATAATACAATACAATTATGATACAATATTTTTTATTTATACCATATACTATACTCCATGTAAAGCGTCTTTGATTATATCCACATATAAAAGGGCGCTRTATAAATCATAGAGAACAAGAAAATGATTATATACATATATTTACAGATAGTATAGGTTACCTAGAGTAACTAAAAAGCTACACGAGATATCAACAGTAAGTCACCGATGAAACATGCGGATTCTGTGGCAAACAAGGGCGATTTTAACGAGATTGCCTACAGACAACGACAACGACAACGACAACGACAGCGACAGCGACAAGGACAACGATAATGAAATTGAGTCGTGCTTGCGTGTAAACGATCGTGAACATTGGATCGTTTGCGAAATGTGCAATAAAGATAGCTTGGGCGAGGTTGTTTAAACGTTTATATTTCATTACTGCGTGTCTATGAATCATAAGTTGTCTGAAAGGAAGCAAAGTAAGTTGGCAGAGTAGCAGAGTTTGGGAGTTTCTGGGTTGACTAAAGCATATTTATGCTAGAAATAGAAGTGTTTGACCATGYTATATGCTGTGAAGCAATAAAGCATTTTAGATTTGAACATTAGCAGAAGGTTTTTTTTTGAGTTAAACTTGCTTTAATGACTCGGTTAATCTGATATAACTTGGAAAAGCAAGAGGAAACTACTCTTGAGATGTGGTTGTCGTACGTTAAATGGAGTCTAAAATGACACCTAAGTCCTTGGCGGAGACAACAGGCTTCAAAGATTTGAACAAAGAGTAAAATGTTGGTGTGGAAGGCAGTCTACTCCTCATCTGCTGTCTCGTTCGGATCAGAAGGAGCTTGGTCTTGAAAAGGGGACAAACCAACGACGAAGACAAACGTCACCACGCTGTAGAGGTCATGCTACCTAATCAGGAACTAGAAGCAGTGTGTATGTGTATGTATGGTCCCACCCAGTGACGCCATTATCCGAGGAGTGTCTAGAGCAGATCTTCAAAGCTGTTAAACTATAGCAGGGGAAAATTAATAGGGGGAGTGCAACTCTCAATAAATCTTTGGTTCATCAGATAGCTAGGCTAAAAATAACAAGCTCGCTTGGATTGGTTGGTGKCTGTGACGTCGTCTTTTCAAGATGCTGAATGCTTTTTTCGGCTTTATTCAATGAATTTTGGCTGGTAAATTCTTTTTTTAAGGACAATTTTACGAAAATATGTTTGAAAATATATGGATTCAACAACGAAACTTTAGTAATTACAACTCGTAGTGATCTAGGAAATTGATTTAAAAACTTGAATACTTGTACGCTACTGTCTTTAGTTTTCGGCGGTATCGGATTGTAAGATCTGAAATAYAATTTTTATTTTTGATTTAGACTTCATTGCAAGACACTAAAGAATATCTACCAAGGCAAAAGAAATAAAGTACTGAGATTGATTATTGAAAATTACGAGATATTTTAAGAAAGAGTGAAATTATTTTTAGCGAAACTTCAGCAAATGGACAACCGACACTGGCATGGGGTTCACCAAGTCTTGAAATGTAAAATAATAAACTATGCGAYAAAGGACGGCTTCAACGCTTTTTATTACAACAAAAAAAAAAAAAAAAAAAAAAGAAAMAGTTTTCAAAACAACAAGTATTACCATGGAACATAAGGCTAGTCGGCGTTTCATAGTCCATGGTACATGGTATTTCATCAAAAGAAAAGCGTTTACCTCAAGGAAAGATCCAAGGCCAGTGTGTGGTACGTGGTCAGGCTTTCRTTGGTTTTCCGGGAAGTTTTWATGTCAGTTCTGCTTGAATATGAGCTGTGCTAACAATCTTCTTTCKTGTTTTTCAAAAGAAATTTTACTATAAATACWTACTAGATTTGCATGTTCATTTCTTACAGATTAGAGAATCGGCAGTTTCCACAGTACGTTCGCTTTTGGCTATTCACTCCGAARCATTCAAGACTTCTACGGATATTGTGGAATCGGAGTCTGAGGGTTTGAAAGCAAAAAGTGATAAAACATTTTCAAATTTGACGAATATAAAATTTTTAAAACACTTTCTTTATATTGATCTTGGAGTACTTTCGTGTCGATTTTTCTAGAAAGTAGACGTSAAAACAGAACATATTTTCCCCCGTCTTGGCTGTAGAGGTGCTTAGTAGYCTTTGGAAGTAATGAAGCTATTATTTGAAGATTTGATGTCAGTTCTCTAAGATCACTACGAGTTGAACATGGCCTTGCATAATGCAGTCTTATTTTTGAATCCATATATTTTAGATAGACGTTCAAAAAAGCTTAATTTTTTCCYATRAAATTGTCCATRAAAACAGAATTTAASCAGTTGAAATTAATTCAATCAAGCCGCCGAAAAAAGCATTCAGCATCTTACGGACGACTTCACAGCCACCAACCAAGTAGGCGCGYAAGTTTTAGCTTAGCTAGCAATTTGATAAACCAGTGAAATAGATCGAGTTGCACTCTCCTATAGTAATTTTCCCCTGACTAGAGAAGTTAGTAACATCACCTGCACCAAAATTGCTACAAAAATGAGTTGTTACATCACAAAACCCAAGCCGAATGTGCCTGTATTCTTGGTATTGGATTCTTTAGAAGTTTGCATGAACTAGACACAAAGCGTATCCATGGACCCCAGCGCTAGCTATGTTGTTCACATTGCTCGATGTATCAGTAGGTATCACCTTCAGTATTTAGATTCACATTCAGTTCATTCAGTTCTTGTCAAAACTGCACTGGCATCTTAAGAYTCAAGTGTTGGTTTCGTCAGTTTTTCCTGTTGGTATAGTTTATTTATTGTTACTGGACGAGTTTGACAGTTAGGCTGGAGTGGTTGGACGGTGTTTCTATCCCCACATACTCCACATATAAACACTTTCTTGTATTCTCTGCGGAATGTTTTGTTCATTACACCATAAATTATAGGGTTGATGGCAGTGGACGATAATCCACATATTGTGAACATCATGTAYACCTGACGAGGTAGCGACTCCTCGCCTAATCCCAGGTCTATGATCTCGATGAAGAAAACTGGCATCCAGCATAATAAATATCCAAAAACAGTCGCGAATAACGTTTTAGTAATGCRAATTTCTTCGGCCGTAATGCTCTGAAATTGAAGTGCTCTTTCGGACCGTGGTTTGTGSAGATTCTTTCGATGCTTTCTCAGAGCGAAGAAGACTTTGAGATAGCAGATAAGTATTATAACCGTTGGTATTCCCATGAAGATCAACATCGTTGATATACTTCGCGCAAGCATTGGCTTCGGATAGCAGAAAAATTTTGCAGGTTGAAAAACAAAGATTTGTCCCACTATGATGTACGGTAACGGATAAATGGCAGCAATAATGTATGCAAAGAAAATGAACAGTTGTGTTTTTTTTTGAGTGAAAACCTTTCGATATAAGTTTTGATTGACAATACAGCAGTACCTATTAAAGGCCATGATCATGAGATTTTGAAGTGAGGTTATTCCGAGCCAGACTACTAGGTATCCCTGAACTTGGCAGCCAGTGAAGTTTGAAGGCCATTTTCCCGTGGCAAGTACAACAATAGACCACGGTGTACATAACAACGAAAAAGAAAAATCCGAGAAGGCCAAAGAGATGACAAAATAGTTTGGGATTGTACGAAGGGCTCGGTTCTTGTATACAATCCACAGTACCAATGAATTACCCAGGATTGCCGCGATAGATATACTTGTATAGATAAGGGTCTCTGTGATTACTAACGCTGGTTGTCTTGATCTCAAAGACTTAAAGGTGCTGGTGTTGATGTTTGGCAAGTGGGACATCATGACTATATCTAGTATATCTTGTGTACGCACTGCTTGCTACTGTCTGAATGACCGCTTCACAAACGTTTTAGTCGATTTGCTCTTTATATTTCATGGTGACGTAGTTTGTRCAAATATATAAATCAGATGGACAGAGAACGCCCTCAAAAGATAAGAAACCTTAACAAATAATGAGTTTTCGATGGCAATAAAAAGATAATTTTAAACTTTCTTTCGACTTATTGTTTAACCAATTCTCCCCGTTTGAATATTTTTGATCACGTTTGTTTCTTGTAAACAATAAATTCAAGTTTATTGCATCTTGTTCAGTCACATCAGCAGTCTTCAAAAGTCATATCCATAAGAAAAAGAAATAAATAAAGTTGATGAAYACTGCACGTATTGTACTCAAGTGTCCAGATGGCTTTTAATTTACCATTGAAACTTTTATTTAAAATTACAAATTTCATTAACATTTATTTCTCGCTATATCTAAAATTGTAATCATTTGCTTAGCTGCGGTAGACCCTGCGGTAGCTGTTCGATGATTGGTTGGTTGGTTTGTTAATCGAAAGTCAATGTAAAGAAAAAGGAGTCTTTTTKAATAAATCCTTGATCTTCCGTCTTAAACATCCTTCAGTAATTAACATGATAAAGGTTAATTGCATAATAACGTGATAGGAAAGGTAGATTCCTAATTTAGCATATTCCTTAAAGTATAAACCAATCCTTTGCTAAATGACACTTCTCCTCAGTGTATTGTCCTTGTCCTCCTTTTTTTTTTGTTTTTTTTTTTGCTTTGATTTTCCCACCTGCTCATCGAGGTTTGGGCACGCAAAGACGCTTTATTATTACTAGAAATTGAGAGATATTTAGATATTATTAAATTTCGTGTGTAAAAGCATGGAAAACTTGGATCACAGATAGCCCAAGCGAAGGCCGTGACACCATCAGGTTTAAAGTTCGAACGATTGAAATGTCGTTTTGTTTGAAAATATACTTCAATTAATTGCTTTAATTTTCAGTYGTATCAAGTTTTCAGTGGCGGATCCAAGATTTTGAAAAAGGAAAACGCAGGAAACGGTGGTAGGATTGCCTTCTCAAAGGGGGTTCCAATTTCATTCAACTGAGCGTAACATGATTAGTAGCTTCACAAGATTTTACAAAAGGGGGGTTCCATGGAGCCCACGGAACCACCCCAGACGATTCTGAGACTAATATTCTCTCATTTCTAATAGGCATTCTTTCTTTCCCAATTGTGAATCAATGTTTCGTGGAAACACTAATAGTCCATGGGCAGTGGCGCAGCAAGTTTTACTGAGCCTGTGGGTATGTGGATATATGAGGTTCCCCCCCCCCCCCCCCCCCCCCCCCCCCCCCCCCCTGACCGAGACTTTGCTGCGTCGCCTTTTTCTTTCATGCATCGAGCCGTCACGGTGTAACTAGTCAAGAAGCTTTTCCTACCTCTTATGCACTCYGTGAAGATTATTTCATACCAAAGGTAATGACTCCTGCAGCTACGCATTGTAATGAGCGATGCATGCCTAGTAAAAATGATCACTTTCCCTAACTTTTTGCCATCTTGACCTGTGACCCCTGTTAATGGTTGATTTGGAATAGACATAACGTTATCTTACTACAGTTCCCAAAAYGCTTTGAAACAATTTATTTACATTCTTATTGCCTCGAGAAGAGTAAGAACAAGCTGAACAATATTAAAACGCCGGTCATGTCATAAAACGTTACGTTTTATAAACAATTTAAAGGYGTGAAAACCGTGGTCTCTTTTTATGAATATTAATAAATAATAATTGTGTATTGGTAGACACCATGACGACCAGTGACAGTCAACTCATATCAAAGAATCGACCATTGATAGAAGCAATGTTAATTTTCACTACAGTAAANTCTGCCTGTGGGCTTCCTGTGTACATCATGTCCTGCAGTATGTTGTAGTCAGCAGACATACCCGTAACCATCAGCTCGAGGTAGGTTATGCCACGTCGGCCATATTGACGGGATAAACCTTGAACATTCTCATCTTTGATCATCTTTTTTGGCTTCAAAATGGTAAATATTATCAAAACACATACTTTTATTCCTATAATATATCTTTACTTTATACAATTAATAGATATATCTTCATTTATMGTTGATATTTGTGATATATTTTTCTGTTAATGGAGACGTGTCACCGGCATATATTCTTCCTATACTGATTCTACTTGGCTAGAAATTCTTATTTTCTTATTTTCTTATTTTGTTCTTTTCTGTTTTTGCATTTTTAACAGCCTCTTCGACTTGATATCAAGGTATGTTTACATCCTGACTCAGTATTTTATATTGAATTCATGGACCCTGACTGTAATACATCGATTTTTTTATCTTCCCCTAGTCTTGATATATTGAATATATTTACCACGTCTCTTCACTGTAGCTTCAGTGAATATTGGTAAATATTTACTAGGTTGTAGTTGAGGTAAATACTCACAATATTCACTGAGGCGGCGGTGAATAGACGAGATTTAGGATTAAAAAAAAAAATTCATATTACTTCCACTTTGGCAAACTTTGACAAACCTCATTGAAATCATTAAACCTGTGAAATAGATATTTTACTAATAGTACACATTAGTAGACCCTAATTCCATTTTCTTTTGTGTCTATTTGACTATTACATGTTGACTAGTATTTGTATTTCACGGGTTAAATGCCTACACTCTATCTCATGATCACTCGTTGCTCAACCACTCACAGCATGAGAAACTCTATATTCAACCCTAAAATATTATATGCTACAATAACTGCAGTACATATATTGTTGCATAAAACTGAATAAAGAATATATATTGAAAAACAGGATTTTTTAGGGGAAAAGCTTGGAGATTAAAGAAAAACAACTTGACAAACAATTCCATTATATTTTTAACTAYATTAATACCATTAATACAGAAATTATCATGCTTATACATGTTAAGTTCTTTTATATATCAATATATAATTTTTTCTGTGAGCTCCAAAGTTGAATATAATTATTTCATTCTAGCGTAAACTMTCTGCTCGTTCAGACCGAGTCAAGTCTGTAGATCTTCACCCTACAGAACCATGGATGCTGGCTAGTTTATACAATGGAAATGTCCATATATGGAACTTTGAATCACAAACTCTTATCAAGACGTTTGAAGTCACTGACTTGCCAGGTACTGTAGGAGCTTAGAGGAGTAGATGGCTATGATACACCACCTACTGTATTCACCACCTTCAAATCTATCCAACTCTATCCAAGGAAATGAAATGATGAAAGAGAGAGAGAAAAAAAAAGTATATTTTCACAAATAAAAAATAAAATAAACTTGAGTGTTCGTGGTTACAGTAGAGTAGAACAACAGTAATATCGCAATAGTAATCTCATAGGTGGTCTTTTTTATTTTCACACATTTATTCTTATTTCATTCAATCTCATTGCAGTGAGAGTATCCAGGTTTGTYCCCAGGAAAAACTGGGTTCTGACTGGTTCAGTAAGTATCCTGAATAAAGATGTTTGGGCTTTTTTTAWCCCAAGTTTATTACAAACTTCATGCTAAACTGTGTTTTTTGCCCACACAGGATGACATGATGCTAAGGGTTTTCAACTATAACACTCTTGAGAAGGTAAATCTTCCTTCAGTGCATATACTTCTATTGTAGTTGTTTCAGGGCTTGGTAAAATCCTATGCATTAGTCAGTTGTGATATTTCTTTAGTTTATAAAATATGTAATATTTGCTAAAAAATAAATAAAATAAATTTTTTCAACTATAACACTCTTGAGAAGGTAAATCTTCCTTCAGTGCATATACTTCTATTGTAGTTGTTTCAGGGCTTGGTAAAATTCAATGCGTTAGTCAGTTGTGAYATTTCTTTAGTTTATAAAATATGTAATATTTGCTAAAAAAAATTAAAAAAATGCAGTACCAGCACTTAAGAGTCGCTGACCAAAACATGCTTTAAAACTCATTATAAAATAACTCATAAATCTCACGTTCTGATTGGTTGGGAGCGTGTGCTTAATGAGAGCATGCAGCAAGCGCACATACTTCAGTTGCTTTATTCCTATTGAAAATAAAGGGTATTATAATTTGTAGTTTATTAAAGAAGTAAAACACTTGCTGTCTCTGCTATGTGGAGTTATAAAGCACTTGGGGATCAACAGAACACTAGAGAAGTATCAAGAAGCACTCCGTTACGTGTCGTGCTTCTCCAAACACTTCTCTCATGTTTTGCCAACCCCAGCATGCTTTATGACTGCACACAGCACGTGCCAGGTATTTCTTTTTCTTCAGACTTATTACAGACTTACTGTATTCTGTAGAATCAGAAAATCAGAAAGCTTCCTTCAGAAAATTGGAAAAGTATTAAGCTCAGTTTCATGTGAATGATTATCATGAAGTGTGATACTGAATACYGATTTGTATTTCATTTGCTTCTTTAGGTCCATGGTTTTGAAGCACATTCAGATTACTTGAGATGCATTGCTGTACATCCTACACAGCCCTACGCCTTGACCAGTAGTGGTAGGTGCACCTATATATCAAAATGCATATCTTAACACGTTTTACTTTTTAAATAATACTGAATAAAAGAGGAATGGAGGATGATAGATTAGAAAGGAAATTGCCTGTGCATTTAACATACTAGAGAASCAGTATGCTTAATGTGATATGTATAGAAYAKGSCAGAAGTTTTTCAGGGTCAACTGCATGTGTCGCGCATGGACCAGCGCACGGAATCTATTCGTGAATATGGGTGGGATCCTACCGAGGGCATGCATCCCATCTGTACAAGCGGAAAAAAGTTTGAATGCTGTTTATAGTACAACACAGTGCTTTATGATGCTTCAACCCTGTTTTTGTTTCTCCAGATGATATGCTCATCAAGCTGTGGGACTGGGACAAGAAATGGCARTGCACTCAAGTATTTGAGGGCCATACTCATTACGTCATGCATATAGTCATTAACCCTAAGGATAATAACCAGTTTGCAAGTGCTTCCCTCGACAGAACTATCAAGGTAACAGTGTGAACTGAAATATTTTGCTTTAATATCACAAAATCTGATAGTACAGTGTGTACAACTGCATATTCTTTGATAACTTTGAGCCCAGTTCTGAAAGCTACACTTGWATTATACTGTATACTGTTTTTAGAATGGTATAATATACAGTATCTGTACAATTTTGAATGCTAGACAGTTTATTATTAAAGTTCAGTATACAGTGTACATGTATTTGAGTAAAAAAAATTCATTCTATATTAGTAAATACCTATTCCATTAAAGATATTTGCGTCAAGACATGAATTAAGTAACAACTGAGGAAAACATTGTCAGTAATTTAGAAAAATAATGTTAATAACTATTACCCCTTATTTCAAGTAACACTTGTACCAATTTATTAATCTCATCCGAATATTCTGATTTTTGTATAAAACTCACTAGAGCTTACTGTAAGTTCTTTTTCAGGTTTTCCTTGGCTTATTTCTTGGAAAACTTYCTCCATTCCTCACTGTTTAGGAAATTGTCAGTGCAGAATATTAATTTATGTGTAGGTTTTTAAATGTACTTTATACATGTTTTAGGTATGGCAGCTTGGTTCTCCAACACCTAACTTCACTCTTGAGGGCCATGAAAAGGTGAGCAGATTGAAGACACTCTGTACTGTATACATACCGTAATGTATAAAGCATAATGATTGCACACATCATAGTTATAGCATGATATTGTATCGTCAGCTATCACAAAACTCAGCATGTTCATTCCAGAAAATTGGAATGTCATAAACTGTTTTCACCTGCAAAAAACTTATTCAGTAATATTGTCATGATGCATTTAGACATGCCTTTGGATCTCGTATCTTAGCCAATAAGAAGTATCCATCTTGACCAGTCAATAAATATATAGCTCCTTTTGGGAACATAATAATGTAAAATGATACAATGTACAAAAAAATGACCTGTACATGTATACCGTTTACATGGAACCTTCTTTTTAATTATCTAAAGAATACATTCAATTTACATGGAACCGGATCCAAATTTGCAAGACTAGGCATACAGCACTGTACACATATTTGTTTGTATAGCTCAGTCCGGTGTATACCCCCAAACGTACAATTTTTTGACCGGTTTTGAAATTTAATTTTTCAACTCAAATTTAATATTTATTTTTGATGCATTATTGTACTGTGTAACTGAGTGCTTGATATTTACTTAACAGGGTGTCAATACTGTGGACTACTTTCATGGTGGAGAGAAGCCATACTTGATCTCAGGTGCTGATGACAGGCTTGTTAAAATTTGGGATTATCAGGTATGCAAAGCAACACATATACTGTACATATTGCATAAAACATATAAGATGTGAAATCTTATAAAGACCAGTGGGAAAGTAATTGGGAAAAACATAAATACATGTATGTAACCTCTATGTACACTAATGGGTGTATACTAATTTTTCTCTTTCCTGAGTGGCTCGACATTTAAAGTCACATGACCTGAAGTTAAAAGTCAAGCCACTCAGGAAAGAGAAGAATTAGTATCTTTTTGACGACAGCCAGTCAGGAGTTTCATAACAGATAAATGGGCTATAAATGTAACCTACAAGAAGATGTCATGTATATACTGTATTTATGTATCAGCTTTTTTGCTTTCATCTGATTACATGTACAGTAGCTCAAGCTTGAAGGCTTTGCTTTTATTCTAAATTTTTTTTGGTTAGCATTGTAAGAGTGACATATTTACACAGTATTATGACATTTTGGAGAATAATAAGATTTTGTTTTGTTTTATTCTGCAGAACAAGACATGTGTGCAAACACTGGAAGGTCATGCACAGAATATCTCCTGTGTTGGCTTCCATCCTGAGCTCCCCATCATCCTAACTGGCTCAGAAGATGGTGAGTATTCAGTGTTACATGTTTTCTTCTTCTATCATAATACCATTATATTTAAATGGTTATCTCAGTTTTAGCTCTGTAGGTAAGAGCGTCGGTCTGTTGTGCGGGAGGTCGTGGTTCAAGCCTCGGCCGGACCAACACTCAGGGCTTTAAAATACCTGAGGAGAAGGTGCTGCCTTTGTAATTATATCTGCAAATGGTTAGACCTTCAAGTTTTCTCGGACAAGGACTTAAAACCACAGGCCGGTCTGTCTTCATTATATAACCCTGTAGAAAGCGGACGTAAAATATCCACTGAAGACGCTGGTGACGACCATCTTCAGTGCCCATGCTAAAAAAACACCCTTGAGGGCCACAAGTTAATCAGTTAAAATATACTGTCACATGTCACCCTCATTAAATAAAGTCTTCTATAGTAATATCTAATAATAATTATTTTATTAGCGATTTTATTAGTCGAGAAATACTGGGTTCAGTTGGGATCAAAGTGCATTGTGGGATTGTTTTAGGGGACATACACAGTATTTCCAAAATGGCATCTATTTCATCTCCTAAAACAGTCCCACATGCACTGGCTAATTTAACCAGGGTTAAACATATCTTATTGACATACACGTATGACTGACTTCTACCCCATGTGTGTTGTTACTGTACAGGTACTGTGCGTGTGTGGCATGCCAATACCTATCGTTTAGAGAGCACTTTAAACTATGGCCTGGAGAGAGTATGGGCCATAGCCATGATGAAAGGTTCCAATAATGTTGCCCTGGGTTATGACGAGGGTAGTATGCTTATCAAGGTAAGTTTTAGCATCAGTCTGTCTTGATATTACTATCTCRGTCTGCTTATTGTTTGTTGACATCCTGTGGTTTTGGTCAGCATACTGTAATACACCGAATCGAAATACTGTAGTGGCGACTAATTTGAATGACTATGTTATCAATGGACTAGTGTCWTGATCATGTTAAAAGCGTTTTCACATGTATGAGATGCTATTAAGTCCAGAACAATAGTTATTGAAATAGGTCTACAGCCATATTTCAATTCAGTGTCCCAGGTGGGGGGAGGGGGGGGGTACTCTTGCCTGTTTAGGGTAGGGATGTGCTGCTGAGCCCTCTGAACCCTGACCCTGTTCCAGAGTAAAATCGCTGAAATTCATACCCTGTTCCAGAGCGAGGTCGCTGAAAATCATACCCAGTTCCTATATTGTGAAAATAGATACCCTGTTCCAGAGAGGAGAGGGTGTGATTTCATATACTGTACCCTGTCCCAGAGTGAGCACGATTTATATACCCTGTTCCAGAGTAAAATCGCTGAAAACCATACCCTGTTTGGCGGCACATACCCGTATAGCAAATATAGGGGAGTACMCCCCCHCMCCCCCCMCCCCCGGGTTCAGTGTATAATTAGTATAATCTTTTTCTTTGTTTTTGTTTTTTTCTCTAGCTTGGGCGTGAAGAGCCAGCCATGTCCATGGACACTAATGGCAAGATCATATTTGCCAAACACAGTGAAATCCAACAAGCAAATCTCAAGAATCTAACAGGTGAGGTTTCACGTCACAGGCTTTTTTCATTGTTCCTATTCTTTAATCTTATCCATTCATTTTCGTTTATTTTTTTTTGTTTTACTAATTAGAGGGCCATGTAGTTATCAGAGTTTTTTTTACTACTATAAAGTGTCACCGTCTTTTTAAATAAACCCTAGTAGTAGTAGTAGTAGTAGTAGTGGCTTACTCACGCGCTCATTTTTTTCTTCATTTTCTCAACGCATTCACTTTTTCATTTAGTAATCATTCATTCCATTATTTCATTCATTCATTCACTCCATTATTATATTTTTCATTTCGGTTTTTTGTTTGATATTACATGTATATTTTATGGCTGTCTCTTTCTGACTCTGTAGGTTTTTCTGGCTTTTCGGTTTTTCCTCCCTCCTCTTAATTATTAGTCCTAACTAATTCAACTGGTAAGAGCTGTGCTCTGGGATCACACATGGACTGTGTAGTGGCTGCCCCAGAGGTGCCTTCACATGCTTTCAGTTCGACCCCTTTGAGCTGTGCCACTGCTGTACTCGGGTGGTGATTAGCAATGACAAGTTTTTTTTTTGTCTGGACTATTCTAATTGTATCATTTTCCCCCAGATGATGATATCAAGGATGGGGAGCGTCTGTCTTTATCTATCAAGGACATGGGATCTTGTGAGATATTCCCCCAGACTATTTCTCATAATCCAAATGGAAGGTAACATTCATACAGTATTGCACTTGACTTTGATCATAAGCTAACTGGTTTGGTGTCTTACTACTGAAGTGGTTACAAGTAGTATTGTCTTTGCATGGGATTATGTTTGGCCATCATTTGATGAGTTCAGAGTAGAAGCTTATTTTTGGATCAGAAGTACTATTAATTTTATTTATTAATCAATGAAATCGCTATATTTAATATCTTTTTCAGGTTCGTAGTTGTTTGTGGAGATGGAGAGTACATTATATACACAGCTATGGCTTTAAGAAACAAGAGYTTTGGCTCTGCACAAGAATTTGTTTGGGCTTCAGACTCCTCTGAGTAAGTAACACAGTTATATGTACTGTAACTTCATTACTTTCCAATKTCATCTCCTGAGAATGAATTTTAAATTGAATTTCAAATTTTATTAGTTTTATACATAAACATATATATATATATATATATACACATATATTGCATTTGAAATATATTGCATTTGAAATACTTAGATATTTTTAGAGCTATTTATGATTTATTAGCTTTATATAGTTTACTGTATATATTTTATTAGTTATGTTTTTGTAATTATATTGTAATGCGCGTTAGATCATTTATATGGATAGCGCACAATATAAGTTAATAAAATTATTAAATTATTATTATTAGAATTTAATAAAAATTTATATCTGAGTTTTTATATTCACTACATCTGTTTAAGAATTAGACCTTTCCCCCTCATGGTCTACGAGTCAATAACTCTTGAGGTGTAGAAGGCCAAATGGGCTTTATAATATAACTAGATTATTACGCGCACTCTGATTGGCCAAAAACCAATGAACTATTTCCCCATGGGCTGCACGCTTGCGCACGCTGATCTCAACGGAYGCTCGCCTTTTTTCTCTAAATTTTCAAACCCGATGGCGTCAATAGCGTGCGCACAAGCGAGATGGGTGATATAACGCACGCTCTGATTGGCTGAAATGCCTATGAACTATTTGCCCATGGGTCGCACGGTAGATTTTTGGTCATATTATAAATCAGTTAGACRACAAAAAAGCACTCGCCCATGGCGAAATAGACRCACTTGAGAAAATATAAAGAACTCTTAACGAGCTAGAGTGTCGCTCGGCTTCACCTCGTGCCACTCTTTCGCTTGTTAATCGTTCTTTATATTTTCTCTCTTCTTCTCTTATGTCGTCTAACTGATAAATTGACTCTTTTTCAGTGTAGTTTGGCAGATTCCTTGACTAACACTCCACTCCTAGTCCTAACACTCTTGTTGTCTCACAGCAGTTACTTGTCCATGYCCTAAAGKTTTCAATGTTTCTCTTACTTTGTCTTGACATTCATATAAAACTTTCTTTCCTTACACAAGAACTATTATTTTTCCCTTTTTGACAGTATATTTATTGTCTTACCCTTCATAGATAGGTTTCACTATGCATTTGATACGTAGGCGAACTTCAGTAGGCAAAACTTATACATACAATAGGCAAAACTATCGTAATTTGACTCTTGGACCTTGATGGTGAAAGGTCTAATTGTTAGCACAAACTTACATGTGCTGTACTAATCAGGCAAATAAATGGATACAAACGACTTGGAATTAGGTTGAAATAATTTATTGTTTTGGTTTTCAAAATTGRCACTTTCTGCTACTAGTGGTCTGTCACCAACAAACCACTAGTAGCTCAACCAATCAGAGCACAGGATCTGTAATAGACCATTAATAGGTTGTAGTACTGTATATAGCTACAGTGTAGCTCTCTCTTTCTGCTGGCCATGTTTTCATGACCCCTCCCTCTCACACCTCTCACTTCTCCCTTTGCTTGTTTATTCACAGTCAAAATCCACCATAGCCATGCATYGGCCTCCATTTAGAAACATCTTGGGATTGGAATAGAAAAAAATATATGTGCTGCTTTTTAATATTCATTGTCTTTCTTATTATTTCTATAGATATGGTATCAGAGATGGCAACAAAATTAAGATTTTCAAGAATTTTAAAGAAAAGAGATCATTCAAACCAGAGTATGGTGCAGAAGGTAAATACAATACCACAGCTGCAATAWTACTCATACTGTTATTGTTATACAATCAGGGACCGTGTACATGTAGCATAATTCTGAGTTGGGGGCTAATATGTTAGGTGCAAGGGAATGCCTAACCCCTGAAAATCGTGAAATTGGGGCTAACGCTCTTAACTCTGCAGTCTTTGAGGGCTTAAAACAATGGCCAGTCATCAGACATTGTCTGACCAGAATTGAAACTTGTCTATTAAAACAGTTTGCCTTGCTGGTCATTTTGACTAGTAACATTAAGCCAGAAATGAAGTACKATATAACCAAACTAAAAGTAATTTGGCCAGTTAACTTGGCCTGCAAGTGACCGACGTTAACTTAAGCTCTGGTTTCTGATGACCCAAAGGAAGGTGTCAACTTGCTCTTCCAATGTGTTTGCCTATCACTACACATGTTGTCTGTACAGTATGTATTGTACATCTATTTACCATTTAATTCTGCAAAGAACATGCATAATAGAAAAAGAACATGCCTGATACGAGGCCGTATCAGCGCTTCTCATCTGCTTGCGCTGGGTACGATAAGGTTTAGAGAGAGTTTGAGTTTTTTTTTTTGAAGAATTAAATGATAAACAACTTACCAGTAGGATAAGCATCTGATACGGCTTTGCATTTTCACTCGTCATTTTTACTCATCACTTGTCATTCCGTTACTTGTAAAAATACTCAGCCGTATTAGATGCTTAGCCGACTGATAACCTTTATCTATTAATCATAAGGACATTAACAATGTAATTCTGTCTACAATTAACTGTTTTTTTGTAGGTATTTTTGGTGGATACTTACTTGGTGTAAGATCTGCTGGAGGATTGTCATTCTACAACTGGGAGAATAATGAAATGTTGAGAAGAATTGAGATCCATCCTAAAAATGTAAGTTATTTAAAAACTCAGCCTCTGTGCTTAATATTCCCTCAAGATACCATGTTCCTCCATTCAGCCTCTGTGCTTAATATTCCCTCAAGATACCATGTTCCTCCATT